CACTGAAATAAGGCAACTGCCAACTCCAGGAAAAACATAAAGTTGTAAAATCCAGGACATGCCATCATGATGTATAATATTTCTCAGCTGTAAATAATATTTTAATATTCATAATAAACTGAATTTTGATTTAAACTGTGATATCAATATATTGAGAATACAGAGGGGGAAGAGATGTGTGTGCTCGTTGGGAAAGAGACTTAGAAGTTGGGAGGAAAAGACTGGAGCCGAGGGCTTTTCTTTCAAAGCCTTCCAGTACTCTTCAACTTTCAAATGCTATGAATATTGCCATGCGCATATGTTATCTTGATCAAAATAAAAATTAAGTTGTAAACAGCAGGATCAATGTTACAGGGGATTTGAGCTAGATAAGGACAGACAGTGATGGGGCTGATGCCTTTGAGAACGTGTCCTTGCAATGTCGGTAGCAGAAGCAGAGCTGTGGAGGGTGAGCTGGAACCACAAGCCTCTTTCTGAAAGGACAGATTTCAGTCCGATACTGGGTTATTTAATCCAATGAAAAATGTTTCAGGAAATCTGCTTGATTTCCTCTGTTTCTTTTTTTCCTTTGGTGTGCGGCGTGGGGCTCCTAATCTAAGGATCTGCTGCTGAAAAGCTGCTGAATGCAAAGCCTCCAAGGTATGCCTCGGAGAGGAGCATTTTAAATCTTCTGAACCGAGATGCAGACAGACAAAAATGAAACAGGACAAAGACATCACTGGGGGTACTGCCAACACTCCCGGAGCCAGTCCTGAGGAGCCATTTGTGTGTTTGGACTGACCTCCGGTCCTGTGCTCTTGGCATCGGAGCAGGATCCTATGTGTGCATTTGCATGTGTGAGCTTATGCACACGAACCTGTGTGCTCCTTCCTCTCATGAACCCAGCAGCATCGCAGCAGCGAGAGAAGCCCCAGAGTGGTGACAACTAATTATGAAACACCAGTCTGATATGTCCCTTTTATCTCATCTTGCAGAAGCCTCGTATTCCCCCAAAGCCCCCCAGTAGCCCTTTGTAATCCCAGAAAAGAAGTGTCAATATGGAAACAGCTGTTCTTGAGATAGCGGGATGACATCCTAATGAGTATGCCATCAGCTACAGAGGAAACCCAAGGCTAATGAGCTTCTGATGCAAATATTCTTTCTAGATGATCCGACTCACATGAGAAAGGCTGCAATCCCCAGCAACGCTGGCAGAGGAGACACTGGCCTGTAGATGTCAAGTCCTCTTTTGTTCTTATTTAGGGTTTTAGCCTCTCAAACCCTGTAGGGCAACAGACAGTCTCCCTGGTGCATCCGGAAGGTGATTCTGGAAAAAGGCAGCCCAGAGTTTTTTGTTTTGTTTTATTTTTTGCTCAGAGGCCATGCTAGGAAAGCCAATTTCGATAGCAGGAGAAATAGCCACAGGTTGCTGTAGTTCAGACAGGGAGTGAAGGCTGCGCATAGAAAGAACTCGCATTCTCAATCATTCAAGGGGGGATGGTTAGGGAGTAATAGCAGTGGGAGAGAGCTCTAGGGGTGGAGGAAAGGGAGATGATAGATTGCAGCACGTGATCTGAGGCAGATGCCTTTTCTAGGAGGAAAGCCAGGGAGGAAGAGAACTGACCCATCACGTGCCTCCTTGGCATCAGGCACAGCCCTGGGCACTTTCTCAGTATCACCTCTTCTGACTCTTCACTGTGACCCTGTAAGCTGAGTAGCTTTAGCTACTCTTCATTGATAAGGAAACTGAAGTTCACAAACATGAAATACTTGCCTATAACCTCACATCTAGAAAGTGGTACCAAGCTGGGATTGAGACTTAAGTGGAAGAGACTTTAAAGCTCCCCCTCAATTTTCTTTAGGGATGTATACATAGGTGGCGAAGCTATACAGAAAATAAAAAAATCCTATAAAAAAGCTGGGGGGTCCAGACACGGTGGCTCACACCTGTAATAATCCTAGCATGTTGGGAGACTGAAGCAAAAGGATTGCTTGAACCCAGACATTCAAGACAAGTCTGGGCAACATAACAAGACCTCGTCTCTACAAAAATTAAAGAAACAAACAACAACAACAAAAGCTGGGCGTGGTTGCTTACACCTGTAGTCCCAGCTACTTGGGAGGCTGAGGTGGGAGGACTGCATAAGCCCAGGAGGTCAAGGCTGCAGTGATCCATGATCATGTCACTGAACTTCAGCCTAGATGATAGAGGTAGATCCTGTCTCAAATGAATGAATGAATGAATGAATGAATGAATGAATGAATGCCGGGGAAGGGTGGTGTTTCTCTCTGGGGGAGGGAGAGAATTTTAATCGAGAGGGGATGCCCAGAGACTCCTGGAGCCCTCATCACAATATTTCATTTTTAATCTGGGTGGTGGTTACACAGGGTGTTCACATTGTAAATTACCCTTTAGACTATACATACATGTTTTATGAGATTTTTTGCACCTCACCAGTATCTTACAATAACAAATTACAAACAAAAAAGAGAGTCCCTATTCTTTGTACATCCAGTGATTTCTTCAGTATGTCAACAGGATGGCCTCTGAAATGACTGTGTCAGACACCAGATTACAACCCGGTGAGAAATGCATGGGATCAGGAGATTTCTGTCTTTTGCATTTTACCGCCCCCACCAAAAGTTAAATTTTACAATGACAGTAAAAATATACTAGTTAGAAATCAACCAATTGAAATGTATCTATTGAGGTCCCTGTATACAGTATCCTAGGTGCCATGGAGGTTACAAAGGCATCCTTGCCTTTTGGATCTCAGAATCACCTTGAGGAGGAGGCAAGACAGAAACAGAACGAGATAATTAACTAAGTAAGGCCAATAAATAATGAGTGGTGCAGACAGGAAGTGCGACAGAAATCCACGTGTCTCAGCTTCTCAGAGGAGAGAGAATTTCCTTGGGGCTTGAAGGATGTGTGAACCTCAGACAGGTCAAGAGGAAGCAGAATTACAACCACAAAGACATAGTAATATGAAGAGGCTCACTGTCTCGCAGAGACCAGTGTTGACCAGTTTGGAGCGCAGGAACCCACAATGGGAAATTACAGGAGATAGGCTTAAAAGAGAACTTGACCTTCAAAACCTTGTGCGATCTGGCTCATACCTTTGTCTAGCTGCCTGGGTTTGTTTGGGTCACATAATTTAATACAAACATGGCAGAAAGCTAAGTGGGACTTAAACGGGTCTCAAGGGAGAAGTAGGGGCACACAAATGTTGCTCCAGAGGGCAGGCAAGTGCTGTCTGTGCAAATAAGGGTTAAAATTGAGTGTGGGGAGGTTGGGCTAGAGATGATACAGGGTGAAAGAATCGGAGGGGGGTGTTGGATGCGGGAGGATGACGAGAAGGTGAGTTCAAGTGAGAAGTCAAGGAAGCAAACGGGGGCTGGGGAAAAATGGGGTGTATTTAGAGAAAAGGAGGGAGAATGTGGCCCCATTCTCTTTCAAGGGGAGTGCATCTTGGAGCTTTGAAAGGAGACAAAGGTGGCAGAAGTATTAGGAGAGCAGCCTGTAGGTAGAGGAAGTTAGGGACGGAAAGGGAATACATTAATGACCTTGTGGTATTTAAATAAAACAGTTCCCTGATTAATTCACTTGCTCTGAGATGACCAAACTCACAGCAACCCTTTGGCATGCCACAGATCACCCCCAAGAGTGACTCCACAGCCACCAGCCACCATCCCCACCATCCCAGGCAGTGGCTGCCAGGCAGAGGAAATCCATTGTTCAAGAAACCTCCCTGTCCTGCCGTTCAGTGTCTATTCATACTTCTCATAAAGTCATGACCCTGGCTATGAATCTCCATCCCTGGAAACCCAGAAGGATGCTGTCCCTTCTGGACACATTCCCCTTCCAGGCATAACTTCCAACACTAAGGTCAGGACGAATGTGAGTCGCCCAGAGCCCCATACCCAACCCTGGGAGGGGCGATCCCCTCTGGGAATTCTGCCAGCACAATGTTGCCTCAATTTGAAGACAAATTTTAAATTAATAACGAAAAAAAGCCTCAGACTCTCACATCTGCCAAAATACACCATTCCCTGAAAGTTTCCTGAAAAGGACTCAGTGATGTACTGTAAAGAAAGCGCCAATCCTCTGTAGTCTTTTCCAGATGCAAGATGCAGACTGGCGGGTCCTGGAAAGGTAACACGGCTCACAGCCGCCTTCCCGCGGGCAGCGCGGTGTTGTTCTTGGATCAAGAACACTTCTCGGCTGCCTTACCACCTGCGCATTTCACAGCCTGCAGTTCCCTAAGCCCCTATGAATATCACAGAACCAACAGACCCATGGCCGACCGAAACCCTGAGAAAAGTACTGGAAGAATGAGTGTGGTTGGTTTAAGATAGAAGAGATGTGAAGGCTGCAGTGTGCGCCCTGGAGTTTGCAGAGTGCCTCGCTAAAATGATCACAGGAATAGAACGGTCCTTGTCAGTTGCTCTTTTCTTTAGCAGAGAATCACTCAAACAGCCTCAGGCCATCAAATCACTTCCTGAAGAACTCTTGGTAACTGAATGCCTCTCCAAGTAGCAGGGATCCCAGACATTGGAATTCTGAGGGCTGTGAAGTTCATCCCTCTACCCTAGTTGCAGCATTCTGTACAAAAACACTAGCATTTTGAGCACCCTTCCCCATTTTTTTCCTGGAATGGTCACTTCACAAACAACTCTTGTTCTTTCAGGGAATAGCTATTGAAGCTGCTTTGATGTCTTCTGGCAAATGTTTTCTATTTCTTCACTCTGTTCATTCAGATTTCTGCAAGTGACTTGATTCTAAACCCATATCTCTGCTATTTCATCTGCAGGGACTATCATGTGTCACTCAGGCATTTAGGAACTTTATGGTTTTCTCCCCTGATGGCACATGAGTAAGAATAAATCATGAGGACTTGGGAACTGCACAGTTGCAGATTAGAATAAGATTCCATAATTGGGACAGGGTCCCAAGGACTTTGAGAGTGGCAGGGGAGACCGACTCTCTTGCGCATGGAATATGAAAAGCCTTTACTTACAAATACGTCCATGAGCAGGTGTTCCAGTGTCACCTCAAAGTCTTCCAGCCTGGCAGCCAGTGTCATGATGGATGTCCCGATTTGCTCCCAGTCCCCGCTGACAGACCAGCCCTATAAACTCTCCAGCTCAGGAAACACAGTCAGCGTCAAATTTGTTTACAGGGCAGGGTTGGCACTAATGGGAAGTAGAAGCCCTTAAAAGAAAGCAGAACGTCGCAGGCTGGACTGCATCTTGGAGCTTCGTAGTCAGAAACTGCGAAAGGGTTTAAACAAACAAACAAAATAACACCAAATGCTAATAATGGTGCTATGGGACCAGACGGGGCATAAAGTGAGGTCCCCAGATGAAGACTTCAGCCACTGCCTTCTTTGTATAACTTCACAGTCCAAGGCACTGGCCAAGTGCAGAGAACCTCACCAGTGAGGGAAAGAGAAAGAAGTGAGAAGGAGTGAAAGCAAGAGTGGGGAAAATGGAATAGACCGTCTGAGTCTGATATTTATAGGGCCACATGTTTTTGACTCTAGCCCATTTCTCAGTTGATTTCTGACCTTTCATAAATGGCTACACACACTGGAGCGTATTGTCGAACGGGGGCAGTGGGTCCCACAGAAGTTGGCTGTGACCAATGCTAGGGCAATTCACACAGACATGCCATCAATAGTTCTTTGTGGAGAACGTATCAGACCTTGTTTTGTACACGATGAGTGAAAAGCACATAGTCTTGTGAAACTCAAGGAAACGAAAGTTGTGGGGGTACTACATTTTTCCTCGGAATATTATTAGATTCCTCATACTCTCTTCCTTCTCCATCCTCCGCACCCCCTCTGCTGTGAGAGCTGATAAACATCAAGGAAATTAATATCTCGTGTCAACTCCTCAAGCTTCTGCCAGTTACAGAACAGCCACGAAATCTTGCAAATGCAGTTTCTCCTTTTCTGCTTCCAAAGTTTGCTTTTTTAAAACAAATAACTTAAAAATGTTCGGAAATTGTGGTAAAATATACGTCACATAAAATGTGCCATCTTAACTATTTCTAAGTGTGCATTCACCTTGTACTTGGTTCGCCTTGTACTGTTATAAACAAGATAGACTTGTTTATTTCATCAATGCTCTTCCTGAGATCGACAAGGGCTCAGACCCTGGATAACAGTTAGTGTTTCTTATTTAAGGCAGTCTCCCAATCTCAACAGTGACTTTACATGGCTATTGTCTAAGAAAAATTTGGGGGCCTTAAGGATAGTTATGATTACATCAGCATTCACCTCCAGAACTCTTTTCATTTTGCAAAACGGAAACACTGTAACAACGAAACAACAACTCCATTTCCCCCTCCCACAGCCACCTGGCTGTCACCATTCTATTTTCTGTCTCTAGGGATCTCGTATAAGTGAGATCACCCTGTGTTTGTCTTTTTGGTGACTGGCTTATTTCACTTAGCATAATGTCCTCAAGGTTCATCCACGGTGTACCATGTGTCAGACTCTCTTCCCTTTTCACGGCTGAAATCATACATCCTAAGCAAGATACTGCTTCGGACAGTTTTTCAGGACTGAGAAAATCTCTCAGGGACACTTGGTTGTCAAGACACTAACGGCCATCCTTGCTGTGACTGTAGTAACATAAGCAGCCTTGGTCTAGCAAGCCAGTCCCCAGTTCTGTCCTCTCAGTTCCCTAAACACGTGCTATTAAACTCTAGTCTCCTGATTGCAAAGAGTGTGATCACTCAACACTCAAGGATCATGTCTAAGAAGGTGGCCCCGATGAGATCGGAAGGGAAATAGAGTTTCTGCTTCACAGTAGAACTCCCTTCTCGGGATGTCAGAGCTCTCTCGGCCATGAACAGTTAAAACTCTCCATTTTAGTATCTCTCTGTGAATTTTCCTTTTCCCAGAGGAGAGACACAGACTTAATTCAACATTTAACGCTTAAACAAAGCTACCATAAAATTAAGGGCAAAGATAAAGAAATGAATAAAAAGCACTGTATTATTTTAAAAGCAGATTTGGAATCTGTCTGATGCATTTAGCTTGACAGTTGGTCCTAAATGGTACATGCATGTTCTTCGAGTAATGGTTTCTATTTTGTTTTTAGGTCTCTAATGGAAGAATTAGAGCGGGTCCCACAGCAGGTGTCTCTTGTTAGGAACCGCACCAGGAAGGGGCGGGCAGTGCTGTGATGAATGTCTTCAATAGCCAAGAATGTACAGAAAATCTATTTCCCTGATGGGCCAACTGAGCTACAGACCTTCCGAGGGGCTCAGGGGTTTGCAATGTCTGAAATTGATTCAATAACCAGCTGCAGTACATCAGCCATAAAGTCTCAACACAAGAGAACTTCTTGCTACATACTTGCCACCTTTTGTTAAAACTATTGCTACGCTGAAGGCCCTCAAAAAGCCAAGTGCTTTCTCGCACTAAGCAAAAGAGCCTGATGCCCACGAGGGGCCCTATCACCAGGAGACTGTCGGGGAGGGTGTGTATCTACATGGGTGCAACATTGTTCTAGTTCCCAGCAATCTCAGGGGAGTGTTCAACATCAAGTTTTCTTTTTTTCAAAAAAAAGTTTATTTTTAAGTTTTGTGGGTGCATAGTAGGTGCATGTATTTATGGGTTACATGAGATATTTTGATCCAGGCATGCAATGTGTAATAATCACATCATGGAAAATGGGGTTATCCATCCCTTCAAGTACTTATCCTTTGACAATCAAGTTCTCTTGGCCCCTTTCCTTACAAATTAAATTTGGACAAAATGGTTTTAGTAGCCGGAATTTCGTAAGAGATATACTACTAGTTTATTTCATCAACTCCCCTCCCCGGTTCCTGGAATGGACAAGGGATCAGACCGTGGCGAAGAGCTAATGTTTCTCATTTAAGGCAGTTGCCAAGAGACAGCTGAGTCTCCCAGTCTCAGCCATGACTTTAGGTGACTATTTTCTAACACACTTTTTGTGGGGGGCTTTAAAAACCGTCAATGTGGCTGTGTGTGGTGGCTCATGCCTGTAATCTCAGCATTTTGGGATGCCAAGGCGGGCGGATCACCTGAGGTCAGGAGTTTGAGACCAGCCTGACCAATAAGATGAAACCCCATCTCTACTAGAAATACAAAAATTAACCAGGGGTGGTGGCACGCGCCTGTAATCCCAGCTACTCGGGAGGCTGAGACAGGAGAATCGCTTGAACCTGGGAGGCGGGGGTTGCAGCGAGCCGAGCTCAAGCCATTGCACTCCAGCCTGGGCAACAAGAGCGAAACTCCATCACAAAACCCAAAAACAATCAAAACAAAACCAGAAACAGTTAATGCATTGGCTTCTCTTAGAATATAAACAGTAAACTTTAGGGATAAGAAACTTTGCATGATTTGGGCAGTGTATGTGGTTTGTACTCTAGCACTGGAGCTCTAGGAAGAACATATTCAGAACATCCTGTTCTTTGAACAAACATCACTTTAACAGTTTCCAAAGGAGAGAAATCGACCAGAAGGGGGTTAGCCTGAAGACTGCACAGAAAATTAGTGTATGCGGATGTCACCCCAAAGAGACCTTAATCATGAATTTGGATTTTAGTGAATGACGCAAGCCACTTGGAGTCATTGGGTACCAGGGAGGAAGTAGAACCATGCCAGTGTTAAGACAGAGAAACTGTTGGAGATACATTCATACAGCAAGTTCACTGGTGTCAGCACTTACCAGTATATGAGAACATGGCGAAGGCTGGCTTGGGCAGATTGATTGCAGATGTTTTCTTAGCAACTATATTCTAACTACCCAATATATATTTTTTGATAATTATGGGGACATTTTATTGATGCTTACATCAAATCTGAACATTCATTTGTTCATTCATTAGTGTATCCTTTGTACGAATATTTATTTACTAATTGGGCCATATATTGGCATAGGTAGGTGCCTACAAAGACGATTAAGATACAGTTTCTGCTTCAAATTTTTACCATCTAGAAAAGAGGAGGCCTGATGTGTGTGATGTAATCTTACGCTATCTTTTCTTGGGAAATATGAATGTAGCACACACTTCCTTATCAGGGGATTCACTCTGGGACTTGGGGATGAGGAGCATCACTGATAAAGGGGGAGAAGGGGCTACTGCCCTAAGTGAGAAACATGAACTGTTCTCCATGCTCTGATCCCTTGTCCACCTCGGGAAGAGGGTTGATGAAATAAACAAATACTATGTCTCTTAGGAAAATCCAGATATTAAAAACATTTTGTTTAGATTTAACTCATAAGGAGAGGGACTAAGTGAACTTGACTTTGAAAGGATAAATGCTTCAGGGATGGATACTTCCATTTTCCATGATGTGATTATTACGTATTGCATGCTTGTATCAATATTAATACTTCTAACCTATGGGAAAGGCAATGAGTGGGAACGAGGGAGATACATGGGATACCTCCCAAGGTTGCGATTTGCAGCACTAAGTGGCAGGGACAACAGAGCAGTGATGGATCCTAGGGTTGAGCCCAGGGAGCCCTGGGTTTGAAGAGCTGACAGCCAAGGTCTCAGTGCTACAGCCCAGGATCCTTCTACCATTTATACACATCCTTTGATGGTATAAATCTCTGTTGGAAAAACATACACTTTAACCATTGATCAAAGCTTGGTGGCCAGCTAAGAATGATCTGGCATGAGCCACCCTGCTGAGGCTGTCCAGTTGAGAACAATTAATCAGCGACACATTCTACATGGTAGGCAAACACCAGCATCTGTTCTGTGCATTTAAAAAAACAACACTTGTGGGTATGTTTTTAAATTCAGAACTGTTAAATTTCTTTCTGTTTGAACTTCAGATGCCCATCTCCTTCTCCCATTTCTAAGGAACATCTTCCCCAGCAGGCTTAACGTTTTGGTGACAAGACTCAAACAAAATAGAAGTCTTGGGGGAGGGGTGGGCATTGGCTGAATTCTCTGTACAGGCATGAAGCTGGTTTCTCCTTAATCCTTCTCCCTAGGAAAACGGTGGGCAGATCATTCTTCTAGAGAGTATTACAGATTTCTGCAGCCCTGAAAATGAATTATCTGCTTCAAATGCATGAGTGCTCCGCAACGGTGAGGTTCTCGGTTCAACTAGATTAGTTCAGTTCATATCAGCCAATCTCTATTAAGGACAACCATGTGTAAGCCCAAAGCAGTAGGCAACCGCATATACAAAATGTGTTTCTTGAACCATATTCGTGTCCACCCTAGAGCAGTAGTTTCCTACTCAGCAAGACTACATATCTGAAGATCAGGGTTGGGCAAGACATCAGCCCATCACACAGTGGATTGGAATCAGTGGCAAAATACCTTGGTACCTATTTTAGTGCCTGCAATAGTAAATCTAAGTAGAGACTTGGTCCAATTATTAAATAAGTACTGAGATATTTTTAAAAAGCAAAACCACCAGCTTTTGTTTTGATTAGTCCTACGGATCCAGTCTATGGTGGTTTTTTGAAACCACTACATGTTTGTTTTCAATCTCTTTTGAGCTGATTTTTGTTTGCTGTGAGACAAAGGTCCAATTTCATTCTTCTGCATGTGGATATCGAGTTTTTTACAACAATATTTATCGAAGAGATTGTCTTTTTCCCAAACCTGGAGGATATTATGCTAAGTGAAAAATGCCAGACACAGAAAAACACACACTGACTCATCTCACTTCTGTGTAGGAGCTAAAATAGTCAAACTCACAGAGGAACAGGGTAGAATGTGATTGTCAGGAGCTGGGGGAGGGGGCAGTGGGGAGATACTGATGAAGGGGTACAAAGTTTCAGTTACGCAGGAGTAGCTGAATAAGTTCTGGGGACCCAATGCACAGCCATGTGACTGAGTTAGCAATGCTGTATTGTATACTTGAAACTTGTTAAGAGGATAGATCTTAACCGTTCTCATTATAAAGTGTTTTCTAAAAAAAGAAAGCAAAAAAGAAAATGGTAACTATATGAGGTGATAGCTTTGTTAATTAGTGTGATCCTGGCGATTATTTCACAACACCTGCACAAGAACATTAAATTGTACACCTTAAATGCATACAATTTTTGTCAGTGATATCTCCGTAAAGATGGCAAAGAGAACTCTCAATGATATGTGTAAATGCAATGGATATTCATGTCCTATTGATGTACTTGTCTGTCAAGCTTCTGCCTTACCTTAAAACTAGAAAGAGAGGATTTTAAAGACATTTGCCTTGTTTAAGTAAAACAAGCCCTCTTGATGGCTATATAGACAGCAAGCTGCCTGTCTGGGTCTAGTTAAAGGCTGGCCTGTCCGCTCTAGTCGTCTCTTAGAAAACAAACATGTTAATTTAAAGGTTTGCTTCTGTAGGGCCCCTGGCAGCCTGGCACTGGCCTGGAATCAGGCAGTGGTTCTCAGAAGACTACACTCCTAGTGTCTGTCCTTATTCTTCCATGTTTGTGTAGATGGCTTATACAACCAAGCTTGTCTTTCCCACTGGGGCTGCATTTTCCATTTTGACAACCTCTCCAACAAGTACAGAGCCTCTATTCCTCTACATCCATCCCCCACCCCACTGCAGTCCCTGCCTCCTGCACCCACAACCCCTGACCATTCACAAGGATGAATTTCAAGACGTTCAAAACTCACAGGCAGTGAAATGAGTGTCAGGCACACCCAGAAGTACCCTGAACTTATGACGGGGTGAAACATAATAACTCATCTTTTCTCAGTCTTGCCATCTGTCACTTACAGTACCATCTGGAGTACAAGGAAGGGGCTTGGAGGGATTCTGAGGTCACCACCAGAAGTGTGCAATTGGAATGTGCCAGGAATGATCGCCTGGGCTTCACCACGTGGACTTTCTAAGGCACTTGTGTTCTAGGGTTCAAATGCACATTGTGAAGACAATAATCCTTATTGCATCCTCCTGAATCTTTCACAGACTTTTTTTTTTTTTTTTAAGATGTTTTGTTCTTGTTGCCCAGGCTGGAGTACAATGGTATGATCTCAGCTCACTGCAACCTCCACCTCCCAGGTTCAAGTGATTCTCCTGCCTCAGCCTCCCGAGTAGCAGAGGTTACAGTAGCAGAGGTTGTGTGGTGTACACCACCACATCTGGCTAATTTTTGCATTTTTAGTAGAGACAGGGTTGGGTTGGTGGGGTTGGTCTCGAACTCCTGACCTCAGGTGATCCACCCACTTCAGCCTCCCAAAGTGCTGGGATTATAGGCATGCCCAGCCTTACAGATGTTTTTTTAATGGCTCTTTTCCGTCTGTAACAGACACACAGGGTTTAAAGATTTCCATGACTTTCAGAGTGGTTTAGAGAATGAAGGCCTGAGCTCTAGACGAAGCTCTTAGAGCCAATCTGAAATCAGAAGCTATGGAATAGGAGCTTGAGTTATGTGGTGATGCTACCATTGCACGTTCTGCACTTTGGGTACCTTCGAGTGAGCATTTTGCTCATTGATGTAATTGCCAAATCCGGGAAGTCTGATGGTCATAAAACAATCTTCAGGGAGAACCACCATCCATTTCACCCAACTCTGACTTAGATTTGTTTTTCCTCCCGCAGTGCCTTTCCCATGAGCCTTAGAATGATCAATGACTTTTAATCCTTTTAGAGTTAGTGGCCTTTCTTCCAAGAAATATTCTAATTTTTCAATTTTTTGAGATGGGGTCTTTCCATGTTGCCCAGGCTGGCCCCAAACTCCCAGACTCAAGCAATCCTCAGGCCTCAGCCTCTCGAGTAGTTGGGACTTCAGGCATTCTACCATTCCTGGCTCTAACAAGTACTTAAAAATACCCTTTACTGTCCTCAAATAAAATTCATGGATAATGCAAGCTGCTTACACATATTATTTAAAACATATTAGCACAATTCTGTTATGTAAACAAAAGATAGGAAAGATAGCAGGAAAGTAATCTGTCAGCAAATAACATACAATACACAAATGTTGCAGATAATGCAACTACAACCAGAAATCATAAGGAAGTGGTCAATTTCTTAATCGCTGTAAGGCCAGAGCTACAAATGCTAATTGCCAATGGCCTGTTGTGTGGGAGACTCAAATGCCACTGGGGTATTGACATTAGTGAAGCGCTTTTCCCGAAACATGAATAGTTCTTGGGAAAGTTCCAACTAAAACAAAGCATTATTACCCCTTGACTTGCATGACAGTTGCATACTTGGAAGAGTCTAAATGGTGAAATGCAAGTACCCCAATCCACACCTGCTGCCCCTCCCTCACTGTTGCTGCCTGGGAACTACGTTGCTACCACTTCCTGTGAAGACCATCAGAGGGCGCCGGCAAGGGGGAGGTGCTGGCAGACACCATCTCAAGACGCCCACCCTTGGTCAATATGGTGGTCTGTGCCCTGTCCACCATCACCCCTCACCCCATCTGTTGCCAGGAGCCAGCATCCCTGGACTACGCTAGTGATAAAAGGCAGGGGACATCCTGCAGGAAGGAAATGGGGCTGAGTGTGTTTGTGTCTTTGAGCAGGAGACAGGGGTGGGTGGAATCATGTACACTCTGTTTCCCTGTCTTGATAACTTTACCTGGCATTCCCAGATAAACCCAAGAGCGATTCAGGTGGCTTCAGTAGTCACCAGGTAGGTCCGGAATGAACTGAATATCTGTTAGGCTCCACTACATTCTTTCCAGATAATTTTATTTGAGGTTCAGGGGCACATGTGCTTGTTTGTTACATGGAAATTATTAATACATGTGCATTGGCAGGGGTGGGTTTCTAGTGTAACCATCACCCAAATATTGAGCATTGTACTCAATAGCTAAAGTCATGGAACCAACCTAAGTGTCCACCAAAAGCTGATTGGATAAAGAATATGTGATAGGCTGGGTGTGTGAGCTCACACCTGTAATCTCAGCACTTTGGGAGGCTGAGGCAGGTAGATCACTTGAGCTCAGGGGTTCAAGACCAGCCTGGCCAACATGGCATAACTCCGTCTCTACTAAAAATACAAAAATCAGCTGGGCATGGTGGCACATGCCTGTAATCCCAGTTACTTGGGAGACTGAGGCAGGAAATCGCTTGAATCCAAGAACTGGAGGTTGCAGGGAGCTGAGATCGTGTCATTGCACTTCAGCCTGGGCAAAAGAGCAAAACTCCATCTCAACAAAACAAAAGAGAGAAAGAAAAAGAAAGTGTAATATATAGATACCATGGAATACTACACAGCCATAAAAATGAACAAAATTATGTCCTTTGCAGCAACATGAATGGAGCTTGAGGCATTCTTCTTAAGTAAACTAAGTCAGAAGCAGAAAATCAAATATCATGTGTTCTCACTGATAAGTGGGAGCTAAACACAGCTCCACTATGTTGATATATTATGTCCCCCAATAACAAGAGCTATCTATTATAAAAGACATTTTTCCATTTGGTCCCTAGCATCCCCCACTAAGGACAGGCTTGGGAGGTCATGGCACTGTGTACCCTGCCTTTCCCCAGATGCTCATCAAATGCATTTGTTGCATTGGGCATATTCTTACCTGCTCCCTAGGCTGTGGAGGAGCTATGGGACCCCGCTGGTCATCTGTGGCAGGCTGGCAGCCAGTGAGCACAGCTCTCAGGGTTCCAAGTGATCAGAATCCAGAGACGCAAATTTCTGACCACTGCTGGATCCTTGAACAGACAGGGCCCTATGTTTCCCACACCTGCGCTCCAGAACTTAGAAGAAGAGCTTCAAGAACAGATGGCTGAAGCATAGCCATGGGAGGATGCCTCTTGCCCTTTAAGTATGAGGTGAATATATACAGTCTCCATCCCTGAGAAAAAGGAAGCTTCCACGAGACAACAGATAAATATTTTCATGAGAATGACTCTGAAGGGAGGGACAGTCAGATCCGATCCTGGGGGGTGGCTGGGACTCTAATTGCACTTCGCAACCCTAATCAATAATTAACCTGAGCTCCTTGTTCAGTTTACAAGTCCTTGGTCAAGTTTACCTCAAAGAGAGACGGATGTCCAAAGACCTGAATTTATCTTACAATGGCAGTGCTGTGCCTGAGACCAGGTTCATGCATCTTCACCCAGGCCGTCCGTAGAGAAGGATGCATCTCCTCATTGGCTCTCTAACATGACTGCAACAACTACAACCTTGGGGACAATTTCCTGGTGGGAGGACATGCCCAATAACTCAGGTGCACAGTGGAACACCAGCACCACTTAGTTGGTAACTTGAGGAACTCGTTTTCTCTGGGTTCAGTTTCCTTATGTGTCAAATTCCAGGATTAACAATGAGGGTTTCCAGACTTTGAGTAATGTAACAGCACAATTTGAAAATGAAATTAAATATTGGGAGGATAACCTATAGGCTTGTTAGTACCTTATATGCTTTAGTACTTTAGGGCATCAAAAACAAACAAAATGGGCCGGGCATGGTGGCTTATGCCTGTAATCCCAGCACTTTGGGAGGCCAAGGTGGGTGGATCGCCTGGGGTCAGGAGTTCGAGACCAGCTTGGACAACAGGGTGAAACCCTGTCTCTCCTAACAATACAAAATTAGCTGGGTGTGGTAGCATGCACCTGTCATCCCAGCTACTCAAGAGGCTGAAGCAGGAGGATCGTGTGAATTCGGGAGGTGAGGCTGCAGTGAGCCAAGATCACGCCACTACACGTCTGAGCAACAAAGCAAGACTCCATCTCAAAAACAAACAAAACGAAACAAGCCAAATATCATCTGCTATCTCCATAATTTCATTAAGGAAAAGATATTTTAACACACACTGAAAACAGGAGAGATAAAAACCTCGGGTTTTAAAGTGGGATAAATTTGGCTTGATAGAAAATTCCTTCTGTTGTCTGTACTTTTCTCCTGGGCTACATCCCCGTGAGGACTTTATTATAATGGAGATCAGAAACTGGCATCTGGGACCAGAGGATCCCAGCCGCAATCCAGCTGGAACATCTGTGATTTTTATCTCTAGTTTTAAACAAATCCTCGCACTGTTCCTATGAAATCGACTAAAGATATGCAAGAAGCAAACTAGTAAGTGAAGCTCTAGAAACGGAATCCTCCATCCTCCACCTTCGTTGCCATGTGCTTTGCTTCTCTGACCATCTCAATGCCAACTCACAGAAGAGAACATCAGCAATGTGGAAAGGGAAAGCTGCAAAAATAAACACCCTGCCTTCCTTTCAGGGGCTGCAGAGGAGAGACAAAGCCAGGCCGTGAGGCAGCGGAGGGGAGGGATGCTTGTTTCACTTCTTAATCAACCTGGATTGCTTGCAGTTGTACTTTCTGGGTGATGCTATCCACTTCCTACCATGATGGAATAACTGATTTTCACCTCTTCTCTAAGCAAATGCTTGAGAAGGAGCAACTCAATCTTTTTTTTTTTTTTTTTAAGACGGAGTCTCACTTTTGCCCAGGCTGGAGTATAGAGGCACAAACTCAGCTCACTGCAACCTCCATCTCTCAGGCTCAAGCAATTCTCCTGCCACAGCCTCCTGAGCACCTGGAATTACAGACTCATGGCTATTAAACCTGCCTAATTTTTTTTATTTTTAGTAGAGATGGGGTTTTGCCATGTTGGCCAGGCTGGTCTTGAACTCCTGAACTCAAGTGATGCGTCTGCTTCAGCCTCCCATAGTGGTGGAATTACAGGCATGAGCTACTGTGCTGAGCCGGAAGCAACCTAATTCTTACCCTCAAGACTGAAGAGCTCTTTTTGAAACTCCTTTGTTAATAGTTTTTGAGTAGGCAATATATGCAGATGATACGAAATTCAAAATTAACAAGAGAGCAGAAATAAAAAGTTAACTTCTCTTATACCTCTGACCTACAGTCACCCGGTTCTCATTAGCAGCAACCAGTTTTACATGTTCCTTGAGATATTCTAATCAGATTCAGGCATAAAATATTACTATTTATGATTACACACAAACACACAAATAGAACATACTTTACAACTGTAAATTTTACTTCACTCTCTGGATATGGAATATTTCTTTTTTCAATTTTTTTTTTGAGACAGTCTCGCAATGTCATCCAGGCTAAAGTGCAGTGCACTTGGCCTCCAGGGTTCAAGTGATTCTCCTGCCTCAGCCTCCCAAGTTTCTGGGATTAAAGATGTGCACCACCACACACACCTAATTTTTGTATTTTTAGTAGAGACGGGTTTTTCCCATGTTGGCCAGGCTGGTCTTGAACTCCTGACATCATGTGATCCGCCCACTTTAGCCTCTCAAAGTGCTGGAATTACAGGTGTGAGCTGCCGCGCCTGGCCCACTGTCTGGAATATTTCATTGAACCAGTCCTCTATTGATGGATATTTGAAGATGTCACTAATTCAATGTGAAAATGTTTTTGTAGATCTGTCAATGTATCTCTAAGGTGGTCTTCTAGGAGTAGAATTGTTGGCTCAAAGTTCATGTGTATTTAAAAAAAGAAGACATTGTCAATTTTGCCTCCCATGGAGGTTATACCAATTTATACACCAAGAATAGAGAGTGTCTGACTCTCTCCACCCTTATGTCATAGTGCGGGTGTGTAAAATAAAACTTTCAAATCTTGGGCACTGTGATGGGTGAAAAATGGCATCTCATTTTTATTTCAATTGTTAATCTCCTTTCACAAGCTGCTTCACAAAATTTCCCCAAGACCAATTGCCCTTTTTAAACCAAGCTTCCATTGATCCAAATGGATCTGGCTATGTCCCATAAACATTCTAATAATGGACCGAAGCTAATAATTAAGAGAAAGATGTTAGAACCATGTGCCCACTGAAGTCCACATTTAAAGGCAATTTACGAGAATCTTTATTAATGGTTCCCTTACGCATCTCTGTATTGTACCTGCCAAGCACACCTGTTAGGGGAGATGAAAATTAACACCATGCAAAGCAAAAACAAAGGGATGGATTCATCCAAATATTCCCCTTCGTCCAGTTTCCCCTTAGCCTCGAACAGAGATAGCCAAGCCCTGAAAAGATTGAATCTTGGAAGACTCCAGACGATGACACTGATCAGATGTGGACTGTACAAAATTGATAACAGTTGTCAGCTACTCAAGCTCAAATCTACCAAGCTCAGAAACTAATCTCATAAATGATGAGCAGGACAGGCAATAAAGGTCCTCCAAATTTCCACTGTGTGTGAAGATATACAAGAGCAGCAGCTCCTCCAAGTAAGGCTGAAGGTTCCCCGGTGACTTGGCTGAGCTAAAACTTGTTACTTACAACTTGTATCAATCAGGCTGATCCCAGCACCTCACTAAGTGTATAACTGGTGCCTGTGTTACCCTACTGAGAGTCTGATTGGGTTTCTACTTATTCTCAAGGTCACTATCTGTGTTTGGACAAAGCAATAATATCAGCCTCCAGGACACCATTTCTTGAGCATTTTTGAAAAGGCCAGTGTGCAGAACACCATTAATTTCTCAAGCACATAAGAAAATCATTATAGAACAGCAGCCAATGAGCTTTAATAGTTTAATCACTTTAACATATTCAATATTTACCGAGCTTGTTGCTTTCTATTGAATTTGCATTGTGGTTGTAGTGATTTTTGTCGTGTACTGCAAGCATCGGGCTATTGATACTGTGGCTGAAATGCTTAGACTCATGAATTGTGAGCCATGTTTTAGAATGTGAGCTGTACAAGCTGTACTTGTGTTGTTATTTAATTATATCCTTTTGCTCATAAGAGGGTAGGTGCTGTACATGCCATATCAAAGGTCTTTCACATCTAAAAATTTGCATTTCTAATTTCTAAGTACGATCTTTTTGCTGCTCACTTCTCTGTCTGTCTGTCTGTCTGTCTATCTTGAAAGGAAAATAAATCTTGGAATCCCAAAATCACTAAGCTAAATGGAAAAGTCAAGCTGGGAACTGCTCAGGGCAAACGCACCTCCCATTCTTTTCAAAATCGTCCCTCTGCTACTGAGATAAATGCATATCTGATTGCTTCCTTTGGAAAGGCCGGTCAGAAACTCAAAAGAATGCAACCATTTGTCTCTTATCTACCTATGACCTGGAAGCCCTCCTCCTCACTTTGAGTTGTCGTGGCTTTTTTGACCGAACCAACGTGCATCTTACATATACTGACTGATGTCTCATGTCTTCCTAAAATGTAACACCAAGCTGTGCCCCAGCCACCTTGGGCACATGGTGTCAGGACCTCTTGAGACTGTGTCACGGACATGCATCCTTAACTTTGGCAAAATAAACTTTCTAAATTGAGACTTGTCTCAGATATTTGGGGTTCATATATGTATGTATGTATATGTATCCATCTATCTATCATCTCACTTTATCTCTGCTCTGTGCCAGGCACTGTTCCAAGTGCCATAGAAATACGAGCTTACTTAATCCTCACAACAGCCCCATACACTGCTTAATCATTTTTACCATCCCCATTTTACAGACGTAGAAACTCAGGAACAGAGAGGTTAAGTCCCTGGCTCATAGTCACACAGCCAGTCGAGTGGCAGAGCTTGAATAGGAACGCA